GTGTGTATATATATAGATATAAACTCTACCCAATTTCTTTTGTAATATGTTGAGAAAATACTGTATGCAAATATTTCTTTTTTCTTTTTTCACAATAACTTGCAGAGATCACATGTTTACAATTCTAGAACTGGGATTGGCTTTTACCCCAAATAAGACCTCAAACTGTAATGTGAATGGTCATTATTTGTCTTTGTTTTTTCTTTTTGTTTCCTTTTCCTCTTTCTTTTGTTTCCTTTTTTTTTTTTTCTTACATTTAAACTGATCAACAATTTCATACCAACAACATTAGGTGGCATCCCCTTAACTGCTCTTGTGCAGCTGCTTTGACTAAAGAGGATCTCCACTTTTCTGAATGGGATGTGTTGAGTCCCCACTTCGACTGAACCCACACTTTCCAATCCAGTATTTTCTTCAACTTCCTTTGCAACAAAACAGGAGGGAAAAAAAAATCTTGTTGATCTGGCTCTTCGAACCGAGAAACAACTCTGTAACTATTATTCTTACACTCTTATTACTCCAATTGCTCTGAAGTTTGATTTCTGAAGTTTGTTCTATCAACAAGTAGACGCTGAAGACGTCGGATTCGGTACATAAGTTGCGTAAAAGAAGGGCGCAAATGTGGCTCCCTGCTCCAAGAACAAACCAAGCAGAGTTACTATTAGGTATTGAAAGTGGGTAGGGAAAATAACCAAATGATAGCCTCTAGTAATCATACCAAAAAGACAAAACTATAAATTGATATTTCTATACTAATACATGTTATAATAGTGCACAGTTACCATGTGAACAGAACAAAACATCATGCATGAATTTATTGAACAAGCCAGCTGGAAGAGTTCATCAACTTAACCAAACCTGACTTAAAACTTGTCTTTCCATGTGATTTCAGGTTTTTGACACATCAGGCTATTGCGGTTTAGTAGGGAAGGAAGAAAGATGCCTTTTCATCACCTAATAATCCAACTAGAAACTTATGCTAAAAGGTCTTACTTACGTTTGCCAGCATTCACGTATTATCTGTGCAACTCCTGGATCCACATCCTCAGGAATTTCAAGACGCCTATTTTGGAAGCCAACTGCTCCAACCACCTGCATTGGATTCAAACCTCTCCATGGGATACATGAGGTAGCTAACTCCCACAATATGACGCCAAAACTATACACATCGCACCTGCAAGCATGTCAATGAATTATTGCAGAATTATTTCAAATAAAAAAATTGGGCTAATTACCATTTTGGTCCTAGAACTGTGTTATCTTATAGTTTAGTCTCAAAATCTTTTTTCCTTTTAACTTGATCTTCGAATTTACATACATGGGGTAATATTGAATTTTTAAAGATAAATTAGTTTTTAAACAGAAAATGCAGCTTGTGATGGCACGTGCTTGTG